TATATATATATATATAATCTTACCGCAGTGAATACAGTGGACTTTAATAATTCTTTATTTTCCGCATTTTGAGAGCAAACACATTACACTATACACACCGGAGATATAACCTTATGGAACGGCTGATCTCAGATTCCCATCCCTGTTTTCTTTATGGCCCGACCCCCATCGCTGGATTGTTCATGCTGCTTAATGACGGCTATTAGGAGAAGACAGTCTCCAAAGGTTGGAGGGGAGCAACAATTAGCCCTCTTCCCTAGAGAGGCAAGTGGAGCGTGGCCTGGTGGGAGCTCCCAGTAATCACAGCTCTTTCCCTGCTGTCTGCCTGCTTGAGAGAACCAGACTCAGTCCCACTCATGTGCCAAAGAGCCCCTTAATACACAGCAAAGTTACACAACACATCTGGGCAGATGAATAAAGGAAGACCTGAAGCTTTTTTTGCTGGTGAGTCTGTTCAACAAGTCAGTCCATGAAGCCTGAATATGTAGCTGAGTGTCTAAGAAATTTAATACAACACTACATGAAAAAAAAAAAATCTAAAATAAATTTGATAAAGATACATATTTAAGTAGCATAAAATTATGTTTAAAAGGGTCCAGGGTACAAACTGCAATTCTGTTGCAAACGCACGTGTTGCTCTGCATGAAGTGACCCATATTCTTAAACTTAATGGACATGGACATCTGTGTTGATTCTATGGATTTAACTACCGCAGTAGCCCTGACAACTACCAAAAACATTACATCAACTGCTGGATGCTGCCAGGGGACCACATGCACAACTGGACAATTCACAGAAAGCTTTTATTTGCTAGTATTTCTGTAGAATAAACACACTCGCTCATGATTCATTAAGGGTGTCAGAAAATACTGGCTATTATTACTCGGGCTGCATGCAAACAGAAGCGTCATTCAAGGTCATGACTAAATGATGCTATTCAAATCATAAGAATCATTAGTATTCCTGGCAGATGATGTTACACATTTAAACTTTATGTGTTGACAACGTCTGTGAAATTAATCAGATTAAATATGCATTGGTGGGCTAAACAGATACATTCTGCATTGTAAAGCTGATTATAAAATGAACAATAGTTGCGTTTGCCACAACAAAGCATAGTTTGGTAATGCTGGAATGAGGTTTGGTATGATGTGGATTGAAGCCTGTGATTGAGGGTGAATAAACTCAGGCATGTACAGTATAAACATGTTTTCTCAACCAAGCAACAAAGAATTGTTCTTTCCAGTCCTTTACCACACTGCAAAGACAAAATGATCCACATTCAAATTGTATATAAGCTGCTCAGATTTGACATTCAGACCAAAATAAACGGGTTTTGAAACCCTAATGTTCAAATGTTTTTACATTGTACTTATATTTAAAAAAAATCGTATGCATGTAATTACATCTGTAATTGATTTCTGTAATTTCATCTATTACTGTAACACTGTTGACCCGTCACCTTAACCCACCCTTAAACCTGTCCATACCACCAAACCTGTCCCTAACCTTACACGTATCCCACCTCAATAGCAGCAAAAGTGTTTTGCAATACAATATGAACACAATAAGCACATTGTACTTATTTTTTGATGCAAGTTCATAGTAGTTAAGGCCACTTAATATAAAGTGGGACCAAGAAATCAATACTTCTGTTCAGCAGTCATTAAATTGATCAAACGTGACAGTAAAGACTTTTACATTGTTACAAAAATACTTGAGATTTTTGAACTTTTGAACTTTCTATTAATCAAAGAATCCTGAAAAAAAATGTATCACAATTTCCACAAAAATATTAAGCAGCACAACCGTTTTCAACATTGATAAGAGTTAGAAATGTTTTTGAGCACCAAATCAGCCTAAAACATATTAAAACAGAAAACAGTTACTATAGTTTAGCTTGAGCATAAGATAATTCTTTCACATACACTTAAAATATTAACAACCGCAAATTTATAGGTAAATTTAAGTGTTAGCAATAATAATTCTTTACACAGTCAAAA